AACTGCTATTTACAGTTACCTTTGATGCCTCACGATTGTGGGACATCAAAACCATGCCAGAGCGCTCAAACTGCAAGCAGTGAGCGTGCGCAATGCGTAAGCGGCATGGCTCATCCTGTAGAGCGCTCAATATGACCTAAAGGTCACAGAGCGATATATATATATATATATATATATATATATATATATATATATATATATATATATATATATATATATACAACAGATTTTTACGAAACACAAACAGTGCTCAATACCATATAGATAGAGCGTAATATAGTTTTTCGTTTTACCTCAAAAAACCACAACAGTCTGTTTCATCCGTATAGGAATCATGATGATTCCTATAAGGATGAAACAGACTGTTGTGGTTTTGCTCAATAACATATAGATAGAGCGTAATATAATTTTTCGTTTTACCTCAAAAAACCACAACAGTCTGTTTCATCCGTATAGGAATCATCATGATTCCTATACGGATGAAACAGACTGTTGTGGTTTTTTGAGGTAAAACGAAAAACTATATATATATATATATATATATATATATATATATATATATATATATATATATATATATATATATATATATATATATATATATATATATACATATATAAATTGAATGCGGAAAGAATAAAACGCTGGAGAATGATAATAGTAAGATTGTTTATTATTATGTATTCCCAGACTAAAAATCCAATATCCAATGATGCGTGTTTATTAATCTCGATGTTCTATATTATTCATTTTGCATGTTCATGGACCAGTTATAATTTTGTGCCTGCTTCGGCTCCAATTAAACATGTAATCGATTTCCTTTCTCAGTTTATGCCTTGATGCTATGTATATTTATGTCATTATAAATCTCTAAACGCCCACACAGAAATAACAGTGTCAATTTAATAATTCCCGAAACGCCCACAAAGGGGGCGTTTAGGGGATTGTCAACACTATTAATTATACAGAATGACATAATACTGTTAATGACACTGATTAAAATTTCTCATACTATAAGGTCACGCGGATAACCCAAATCCTTACTCTATGCCCACAAATAATGGACGTATTTGCTGTCAAGAGTGAGCGAGGTAGCACACAATACTTGACGGAATTTAATTAGTTACTCGCCAACACATATATTATCGATATGTCGATCTTGCATTTGTCCGGATTTGTATTTTTCAGGGGAACTAATTAGGCTTCAAGGATGTTTGCAGGATGAGGTCTTGAGGGGCAGATGAAAGAAAAAAGTATTGTGTGCATGTTTAGTTCCTTTATACAAGCTTTATACACCCGATATTTTATCTTTATTTCTTTCAGGAAGTATACGACAAGGCGATGAAATGTAGAATTTTGTAGAAATCATATATGATCGCGGTAGACATAGTACTGCGCACATTTGTCCGGTATTTATGCCCGGTTCACACTGGTTGTAAGAATCGGGGATTTCCATTGTCTGTGGTCATTGGTGTGCAAAATGCTTTGTCTGTCGGAAAAGAATACAATAGATCGCCGATGAATTACGACCAGTGTGAACCGAGCTTTAATACAGTCTATATTCAAGAACAAATGCCACTTTCGCAGCTGTATAGCTACTTTATTTATTTGCATAATTGCTCGAGGTCAATAACAAATTAATTTGCTGTGATTTTTTGCTGTGTTATTACAAATTTGCTCCAATCTTCTAATCCGGTCAGTAATAAAATTTAGTTTTATATGTTTTTATTATCCGATAATTTGTAAAAATTATAACAAAAGACATCCAATAGCACACTTATTTTGAAAACGCAGTCATTACGCGTCAAGAATCAATTTTTCAAAGTCTTGGATGCCAGGAAATTTCCGTGCTTAAATGCCGATGTTATAAATTAATGATCGCAAGAATGCTGGCTTTTTATAATACAGTTTCTGTTAGCAAAGCATGCTATTGTGCTGAATAAGGCATATAATATATGAATGTACTGAATCGACTTTGTAATTAGTGAAATATCCGGCGTAGGAGCTGGCAGTTACATTTTGTCAGGCAAGCCGTAATTGTGCACTTGAATCTATTTCGAAAGTCGAAACGAAATTGCTTCGATAATATACAATTAAATTTATTATGCGATGATAATGAATCGAACGCGCACCCAATTCCATATAATTTGTTAATGTACTAATATCCGAAAACGCATGATTTTTATCTGTGAGTATATTTGGTCATAATTATACGAATGCCAAACTTTCGATAATTTTGTAGTAAATCTTAATTAACTCCATCGCCGAACGTCGGGAACTTCGAGTTTTCCTAAGATAACGACAAGCGAAAGTGACCAAAATGAAAGCGGAGTATCCCCGCTTGGTGAAACTGTGGTACATCTTCGGAAAGATGAAACTGTGATACATCTTCGGTACAGTATATAGCTTATATAACGAGAAATGGCGATCTTAATGAAAAATTGTATTTGCCCCAGTGACCTTGAGATGTCACTTGGTTTTCTGGATATGTTATTTACCGGCTGGGGAGTCTAATATTTTTATAATAAAAATATTTTCTCGACCTTCTGTCTTGTGCCACTTCTGAGAATTCGGGAAAGTATTTTTCAGTACGGACCTACCAGCCGGTATTTAACATAAGCATTTCAGTTTCTTTCACGCAGATAATAAGCATAAAGGCGATTAAATAAATGTATATCTTGGGCTAGATGCATGCATACAATATGTTTTGATTGATGCTTTAATTTAACGTGAACGAAGATAACATTTAATAATGTTTTATCGCTAACTTGAGAAAAATAGTTGCATCACAAAAATCCTAGCAGACAATTACTTCCAAAACATTTTGTTTACTATCTCATTCACAGTTAGTTCTGTCGCAAAGCTGATGGCTTCCTACCAAACACTGCAAATGATACACTGTATGTATTAATTTATTACGTTGTCAGAAAATTGAGATTACAAAATTGTATTACTTGTAAACGTAGAAATTGTGGTTCAGATAGACATCCACTAGCTATGGTATATGTGAATGGATTTCTTAGTACCAAGAATTGAAATTTATAAATGGTAACAGATGTTAACAGCTGTGCGACCGAACTAACCGTCAGTGAGATCTTAAATAGAATGTTTCATTGGAAGTAAATATTTTCTAAGAAATGTCCTCAAAATTTGTTTTCCCGCGTAAGATCGAGAAGTTATAAGTGTTAGTGGGAATTCGATCAAGAATAGTGTGTTTCCTCTCTCATGCTCGGACGCATGCAAATATATCAGTTATATGAGGGCGTAGAGTAAGGATTTGTCAGTTCAAATCCGTGTGACCTAGTATCAGAGACTTGCATAGGCGTATGAGGCGGGGGACAAGGAGGGTTGCCCCCCATAAAAATGAAATGTCGATAAGTTGGGCAAATTTTGAACGTAAGTCGGGCAAATGTTGAACGTAAGTTGGGAAAAAGTGGGGAATATAAGCTGAAAAAAACAAGAAATATGTAAGATAATACTAAAAAATGCAAGAAAATAGGACAATGTGGCGAACATTTTTGGCTTTTCGAAAGTTTCCGAAGTTTAGCAGGGCAAAATTCAAAAGTCGGACAATTTCAGTTCTGCCCCATTAATTTTTCCGCTCCCGTACGCCTATGGAGACTTGATTCAGTGCCTTTTAACAGTGTACACTGTTCATTCTACGTGGGCGTTTACGTTTACATTGTATCGACAAGTCGGATAGCTTGAACAACGACGTAAAAAACAGATCGGATATTTGTCGGATAGGGATTGCGTTTACATATAAATGATACGAGTGCTGTGCCGCGACAATTCGCGAGCTAAGCAAAACCCGTGCGATAACTACAAACATAGCTGAAATTATGCACTAGTCAATCGAAAGCCCGCCCCCCGACCCCCGGGACTATGCGGGGATTTTAACATTTCACGGTTGTTAAAATCCCGGCTGAAAAATCTTGTTCAATTGTTAAAATCCCCGGGTTACCGGGCCTAAATATTTGGGTGTTTTTTTTTCAAATTTCAGCAGTTTGATAAAAAACCTAACATTAATATTTCCATTAAAACTCCAAAGTTAATACTTTACCTGGTTCGTTCTTTAAAAATTTCGTATGCATATTATAAAATTAATACAGGAGAATGGTTTTAAATAAAGCCAATGGTTGTCAGATGCTTTGCTCCTTTGTAAAATAATACCGTTTTTAATTAAGTACGCATAAGCCAGGTCATATATACCGGTATGTTAATAGGGTAAAATATAAATTCACGGTATAAACCAGGTAATACATCACTCAAATCATGCAAACAACAAGAGCAGCGCTTAATAGGGCCATTTATACGGAACAAAATAAGACGCGACTTACATAAGACGCGACTTAGGTAAGACGCGAGTTTGTCGTATAAAAGGTACAAAATTCTTATGTAAGACGCGTCTTGGATAAGACGCGTCTTACATAAGAACAGGTCTTTTAGCTGTTCTTATTTAAGTCGCGTCTTAAATAAGAAATTTTGGACAAAAAGTCTAACTACACATGCCAGGAACTGGAAACAACGTAAAATTATTAGCCTTGCATATTAAAACAAAAACAAACAAAACAACATTATAGCTATAGCAAATAAATAAGACCAAAGCCGTAGAGAACCATTTATGCGACAACTCCGCTTATTTAAGTCGCGTCTTATGTAAATCGCGACTTATTTTGTCACGTATAAATGGCCCTATTATCTTAATATAATAATTTCCCAAATAAATATATACAAAGTTCAAACAAATCTAAGACTGTGCACACGATCACTTTCCCGAGCGCTTTTCAATTGCAACGCGTTTTAATATAAAAACTTTTCCAACACTATAAACGATATCTGACGACCTTTTCACGCTGAAAAGCTTAAAATCCTAGTTTAGTTATCGAAGACTGTTTAACTTAGCTATAGTGAGCAATATATTGTTACAAACTTGGTGACAAATGGCTCCATCTGATAAAAAAAAAAGATGTCAAGAAGTCACGAGAGATGGAATTAGAGACAACATTTGCATACAGTGAAAACGTTTTAGTGCGTTTTAGATCAATAAAGGTAGCGCGTCAAAATGACAAAATTGGAAAATGCTCGGAACCGAAACCATATGCACATTATTCGCTGAACGTCAGAAAGTTTTTCATTTTTTCTTTTTCCGCGACTTGCAGTTTGTACAAAACCATGAACCCCTTGGTGGTTGCTTAAGGCCCATGCATTGTATGTGAAACCACTGTATTGGACAATCTTCACCGTCACATGCCAACATTAGACCAAACTCGGGTTCGTTACATATGCAGTACAAGTCAGTCGCAACTATAAATTTAAACAATGAACAAGAAATTAAATTTTGCCTTAAACCTTGAGCAGATAGTTACAGTCGTGCCAATAGAAGCGTTGAGAAAGAGCTAGACATTTAATTTCATCGATCAAGACGCTTGAAATTTGCCTTGCTTTACCTATTCATTTGGTAAAGTTGAGAAAAACAGTTGACAAATATCTCGAAATGTTTGTCGAAATGTTTCTACGGAAGTGTTCACACTTCAGCTTAGCCAATCAGCTACGAGTTGCCCTAATAAACTTTCATGTGATTGGCTATTGTTCTATCCAACACCTCCGTAGAAACATTATGAGAAACATTTTGACAAACTTATGAAATAAGTTTCTCGACGTTAGGAAATAAATTGATGGACATTTTTCGAAGCGCTTCTATTATACACAGTGTCAGTGGCCCATAGAAATGGAACCGGTATAAGTCAACGCGACCGATTATAAACGCATACTACACCTTTTATACTTTATGAAATATCAATAGTCATATATTTAGCTCACCTTGGCAATCGGGGCAAAACCACTTAAAAACAGGGCTGTACTTCAATCCAAGACATCCTATATGGAACCACTTGATTGGGCAAGTTTTCCCTTCGCAAAGAATCATTTCCCTATATTCTTTGTCTTGACACCAACACCACACATCTGAGACAGGGACATCTGAGACAGACATCTGAGACAGGGACATCTGAGACAGGGACATCTGAGACAGGAATATCTGAGAGAGGGACATCTGAGAGAGGGACATCTGAGACAGGGACATCTGAGACAGGGACATCTGAGACAGGGAGATCTGAGACAGGGAGATCTGAGACAGGGACATCTGAGACAGGGACATCTGAGCCAGGGAAATCTGGCACAGGGACATCTGAGACAGGGACATCTGGCTGAGGGACATCTGTATTACGTTCTATATTAAAATATTAAAATACGTCATTGGTCGTTTTTATGTTTATGCCATGCACGAACTATTCGTCTGGACGAATTTGCGAAGATCGTTAGTTTGTCGCTTAGTTTGTCTTTGGAACTAGCTGCTATTGTTTCGTTTCGTAAGAAATTATACTGTCAAACTGCATCCAACTAAGGTCTGCCTAAGTTTGTCCAGGCGGATAGTTCATCTTAAGCATAAAAACAGTCATTATGAATATGCGACTTGTTTCAAGCGCAATATTCAGATACTTTAACACTTACGAACTGCCTTCTTGTTCTTTCTGGTTAAGGTAGCCTTCTGAGCTCCCATTTTCCTCCGTTCCATAATTCCCTTTAGATGTTCTACCTGCATCGAAACTTCATCAACAGACAGCAACACTTGTTTAGCCACGGATTCCAAATCTATGTTCAACATTTCTTTCCCTTTCTTCAAGGAATTGTAGAACCTTTCTTTGATTACTGCACTTGGCGGCTTATATTGGAATTCAGCGGTATCATACGCCCGATCTTTCACAAAAGCCCAATGTGCTAATGGCTTCAGATAATGGCAGAACACATACCAGAACACTCTTGACACGACCCACCCCATGGTCTCTTTGGATCTGGGATTGGAAAAGGAATGTGAAACAACGGTGGCCCATTTTCAAACAAATATTGCTCTCTAGTCGCACCATGGCAGAAAAGATGCGAACATTCAGGCTTATAACAAAGTGTTAGTATGAAGGCATACTGTGCAGGAACTTTATGATCCATATGGCTCTGGCGTATAGACCACACCCGCTCGAAGTGTTGATAAAGAGTTGGGCTGGCTGCCTTTAGCTCATCCTTCTGCTTTGGGTTTCCTCTCAAAAAAATTAGCAAAGCTTCTCTCCGTTTCACAAGAGATGGATTCTTCCCTTCTTTAAAAAGCTGGGTGTTGGTCCCGCAACATGGTGCCCCATTCACTCGATCAATGTAGACCTCCGTAGCCAGGTCCACATTCTATGTGAGCTTATCTGGATCCAGGCCACTAGCATTGGAATTACCACCGCATGTGCTTTGGCAATACATCCGTTCATTAACTCAACTGGATTTAAATAGGAGCCACCACTGTTCCTGGTTGTGACAATTGTGCATATCTTCTGCTTAAGAAGGTGTCGTTCTGTCCACAGAAACTGTACTTCTACATGCGCCCGTCCCTCGTCCCCTGCTCCATCTACTCGTATGCAATCCATGGGTTTCTCAATAAGGTAATTAGGTAACTTCGTCTCGAGCATGTTTAAATCAATGTAATACTGAGTGGGTGTCTTGTCATAAGTAAAATGTGGTTTCACGATTCCAACACATGCTTTTTCGGTCGTCTCAGAATCCAAGAATAAATACGACGTGGTTTGAAGGAGAGACGGGTATTTATTTACAAAATCAGTTCTCGTAGTAAGTGAAGGCTGACTTTCCAGAATGATACACTTGCCTTGCTTATGGGTGAAGGTTATGTCGAGACGAAAACCGGCTTGGTCATCTCTGTTCAGCAACACTTTGTCCTTGCCGTCTTTCAGTTGTATGAACTCGATTCCCTTATAAAATGCACTACTCCAGTGTGCATCTACGTTAAGTTTTACCGCAAACCCCTTACGAGCTCTTCTACAGTACACGTAACTTTGGCGATTCCCTTATATCGCTTGGCAGATAAACGTCGCTTGCTTCTTATAACACAAAGTTGGACTACAGTTCCATAACTTAATTGGCAGTTATACTTTTCCTGAAGATGACATTGAATACTTTTGTAGGTAACTTTCTTTCCCCTGGAGCGAGCACCGTCAAATGTCAGCACCCCCGTTCGCCGCCAAGCATCAGCTCCTACTCTTTTCGATTTGACAAATTCCTCGATATCTCTTCCGATATTAGGATGTTCCTTAACAATTCGGCTAGCTCTTTTCGAACACTTTCTTTTTCAGAACATTTCGGGTCGCTATTTCTTTTGCAATGGTCCGTTTTGCCTTTGTTTAATAGCCCGACGTACTGCCTGGATACGCTTTTTCCCATTTTCACACCACTGGGTAAATTCTTCGTCATGATCTTCAATTTGCTCGGAATCAGACTCAGAAAATACAGATTCACCGTCTATCATTAAAGGCTGCCTACGCTGATATTCAGTGAATGCTTCGTACGAAACCTTAAAGCTGAGCCAGTTCATCCTCGTTTACGCCGGACGCAGAGAGATTATTTGCAAAGACAGTCAGCAGTTCATCAAACACATCTTCATGCAAATGCTTTAAACGTAGTAGACACTCCTGATGAAATAAAACCCAATTAAACTTACTCTCTTTCAACCACGACAAGCATACTTCATTTGGCGGTGTTTCACTGGCGTGTAGGTTAGGTGAGACGTTTGACCCCGTGGTAGTTTGTTTCAGTTCTAATTCTGGTTTTAAATCGCTACTGAAATAATCAGTCTCTGAATCCGATTCATCTGACTCAGATTCACTGGAAATGTCTTTTGGTATGCCCAAGGAGTTAAAAAGAGCTGTATCTTCCAGAGTCGCAAGCTTCATTACCGATTTCTGGATTTCATTTGCCATCAACATTGCTTGGTTCACCTGCTGAACCTGTCTAACATTGTCATCAATACCGTAGGTTAATTTCGCGTGTTTTGCAGACTGTCCCCAAGTGGCTATATATTTTAGTAATTTCCTATCTGATTCAGTTGATGCTAACTGACATAACGTTCTAAGGGTCTTCTTGCTAATTCGACTTCCAACCTCTCTCTCTGCTGGTAACATCTTTGGAAGCAGTTCTAACAATATCTTGTAGTTGACATCGGGACTTTTCTCGGTTAAAAACAGGAATTCACCCTTCACAATTACCACCGGTAATTGTAAAAGTCGCTGCACTGCTTTGTCAGACTTATAAATTTTATTCGGAAATTGCGTATTGAACACTTCAGATACTTTGGCAACGCCTTCTTTCAAAATGTAAGATGCCATATTAATTAACAGAAGGCATTCTGTGCAGTGACATTGTGGCACCTTTTACAATATTCAACGCGAAAAATAACGAACTCTTCTAAAGAAACAACAGACATCAAAGAAACATACAGCCCATCTTCTAAACGACAAAGCCTGACGTCACTAAGTTTTAAACGCACATTTGCAACAAAAGTTTCGTATTTTTCTTCATCAAGAGATAATATACCATATGTAGAGCGATTGGAATTACTCACTGACCATGTTTAAGCAGTTTGTATAGAAATTAGGAAACAAAAGACTAAACCATTCCTTGTTTCAACTTGGTACCGGCCACCAAATTCTGATACTATACTATTTGACAGATTTGAAAGCTTTTTACAAAAAGCAGATGATACGGGACAAGATCTGATCATAACCGGTGATTTCAGCTGTAATATATCAGCTACTTATGACAGCCCTCATACCTAAAAAATTAAGGACTTAATCGATATATACCAACTACAACAACACATTAAAGATCCGACTAGAGTAACTACAACCAGTAAAACCTTAATCGATTTAATACTCACGAAAATTGAGGATACAAAAACCATTGACGCAGGAGTCATCCATATTGGGATTAGCGATCATAGCCTTGTCTATATTTGCCGAAAAGTGAGCATCCCAAAGGGAAAGCCCAAAATAATAGAGACAAGGCAATTTAAACATTTCAATGAAGTCCGATTTCAAGATGATTTAAAGCAGGCACTAAACACACACTTCCATTATTTATATACAGACCCAAATTTAGCTTGGCAACTTTGGAAAGAAGTATTTTTAAATATTTCCGAAAAACACGCACCAATTAGACGTAAAAAGGTCAAAAGTGAGTATAAACCTTGGCTAACAAACGAAATTAAAGAATTGTGCTACCGTAGGGATTACCTAAAAAAGAAAGCAATTAATCTGAATTCCCCTTATTATCACGAAGCATACAAGAGATGCAAAAACAAAGTTACTAGACTGATAGAGGAAACTAAAACTAATTACTACAATTCCAAATTTGCAAACTCTAAAAATAGTGCGGACAGCTGGAAAACAATTAACGAATTATTAAACAAAAAGTCCAAAACAACGACTCTCAATGCGATATCTGTGAATAATGAGGTTGTTACAGGAGATAAAAACATTGCTAATGAATTCAACAAATATTTTGCTACTATTGGACCAAACTTAGCTGAAAACATCTGTACAACTGACGTTGACTCGTTGAAATACGTGACAGTAGGGACAGCTGATTTTAACTTCAAAAGTATTACAATCAAACCGTATTCTGAGCACACGGAACCATTATTCAAAAAATTAAATCTATTAAACATTTACAAAATAAATGATTATTTGACCAGTTTATTTATGTTTCAATTTTACAACATGAACAATATGCCCGAAATTTTCAACAATTTTTTCAAAACTAATAATGAAATTCATAATCACAATACTAGAAGTTCCAAAAAACTACATAAAACCTACACCCGAACTAATTATATGAAACATACTTGGAATAATTTGAACGAAGATTTAAAATCCATCCAATTTTACCAATCGTTCAAAAAACAAGCTAAAATTTATTATCAAACACAAGAATAATAATAATACAGCATTATATTATATTATTCATGGACGTCTAAAACAATGTAGGGTAAAAACAATGCTTCCATCATCATGCACTCCTAACTTCATATTTGTTGTATATCTATATTATTGTAAAACTATATCACAACTTTCTTTAAAATTTTATGTACTATATATTAACTGACAAATAGCTATCGTTTGAATTTAATATTTGCTGTAATAGGGGCCTTGCACTAAAAGCTTCTTAAAGTTTCTTAAAGGCTCCTAGCTCTAGTATTCAACAGACGTTATACTGTATATTCTATCTTAATTATGTAAATAGGGCGAATTTTTAAATAAATAAAATAAATAAATAAAAAAAGCAAATGTGAAAAGCGTATTAAAGAAATCGAAAGCTACCAAAGCAACAGGCACTGATAATATTTCAATTAAGCTTCTAAAATTAGCAGGTGATTCTATCACAGAACCATTAACATTCATTTTTAATTTGTCTTTATTTACTGGTATTTTCCCTGATGACATGAAATTTGCAAAGTTACGCCAATCTTTAAAACCGGAAGCAAACTAGATTGCGGAAATTACAGACCAATCTCAGTTCTTTCGGAAGTTCCCAAGATATTCGAAAAGATTGTTTATGAACAACTCACTTAAATGGTACGGTGCAACAGGTCACTTGCTTGATTGGTTCACTGATTATCTTGCGAACCGATCTCAAAGGGCTGTGATTGACGGCGTAGCTTCTCAGTACCTACCAGTTACTTCTGGCGTGCCCCAAGGGAGCATCATTGGTCCTCTGCTATTTGTCTTTTTTATAAATGACCTACCAGAATTTATTCCGAATCAGTCAAAAACCGCTCTTTTCGCTGATGATACCAAGTTATACAGATCGATTTCATCCATAAGCGACTACGAAAGCCTGCAGCGTGACATTTCTAGTTTAAATTATTGGAGTCAGAATTCAAATATGAAATTTAACACTTTAAAATGTAAAGTTCTCGCAATCACACGTAAAAAACGGATTATCATTTGGGCGATGCAAATCTACAATGAGTTCAACAAGAAAAAGACCTCGGTATAATGATAACTGCCAACTTATCCTGGGACGCTCATATATTTTCAGTTGTCAACAAAGCTAACAAGATGCTTGGTCTCTTGAAAAGGACATGTCCCCTTATAGAACACAACAAAATAAGTCTATGTCACGCATTTGTTAAGTCGCAACTGTGCTATGTAACGGAGGTATGGTCACCGGCTACTAGGCGTGCAACACGCTGAATCCTGAAAACGAATGTCGGAGAGATGCCTTATGAACATAGGCTGACAACCCTAAACCAACTACCACTAGTTTATGATGGAGAACTCAGAGACCTTGTTTTGGTTTATAAATCTATCTTCGGTTGTATTGACTTGAACTTTGAACAGTTTGCATCTTTTGTGCAACATAGTCGTTCCATCCCGAGTTTTGATACCTTCGTATTGTAAAACATCAACTTTTCAGGCTTCGTTCTTCAACCGAGTAGTTAAGCCTTGGAACTTTGTTTGTAAAATAGCCTCCACAGATATATTTGCAAGCCTAAGTATTTTTAAACGCTTCCTGCATGCGACATACTCCAACCTGGTCAAGGATACTTTTAATGTGGATATGCCATGCACTTGGTCACTCACACGCGACTGCTCCTGCCATCGTTCCTAAACTACATTGTGTATATCTACTGTAAATAGATCTTTTTCCTTTCTTTTTCTTTTTGTTATCTAGGCATACTTATATTTAGGGGTTGTGCCTTGCACGGGTCTCGTTTTCCCGTTTGCACTAACCCCATTGGACGTTCACCTTGTAATCTAGAATTTCTATGTCCAATAGAGCTTATAAAATAAGGTAACCTATATATCCACCCGTTGACATTAGCAATGCTTTTAAATCTTTGATCTGCTGCATATTGGGAAAATTCTAGAGAGAGTACAACTACAACTCAACCAAATTCAGGTCCCACAACGTTCCAGTCAACATGGTTTTACTAATGGCCGCTGTGCTAAATCAGCTCTGAACTGGCAAATTGACAATACGTGCTGTGACAAATCAGGCATTCATGCCCTCTTTATTGACCTTAAAAAAGCCTTTGATTTAGTTGATCATGGGATCATCGTATCATGTCAATAAAAATTTCTGGGTATGGGTCAAAAGCATTTTGTTTGGTAGAATTTAGCATGGTAAGTTAAATCAAGCATTATGATCGCGGGTTAAGAGCTGCCGTCCAGCTCGGAGTACCACAAGGATCTGTACTTTCGCCGATCTTTTTTAATAGTCGACATTGACGACTTAGATGCTTGTGTTCCGCTGACGAACTTGAGGACAGCAAACACTGTTGACTGTACACGAAGTGCATGCATCGTGAGGTGGAAGCGTAGCAACTCGCAGGAAGTCTTAGGCTCCATATCTGTTTAGAACTGGTCAGGTGCCAACAAAATGAAGTTGAACGCGAAGAAAACGGCGAAAGATATTCGGGAAATCTATCCCATAGACACCCAATATTTACACCGCGGATAATATGATGGGCGAAAGAGTGGATCCATTCAGAAACTGGAATTCTCACATTAAATTAAAGAAATTACCTGTAAATGACTGAAACAGGAGATTACACCTTCTAGGCAATGTAGAATGGCCCACCTTCCTACGAAAGTCGGTCTTGCAACTTACTGCACCAAAATTGCACCCCTGCTTGGATATGCTGCACCTGCTTTCGATGGCCTACCTCTTTACTTAGAGGACGACCTTGAACGTATCCAAAGGAGAAGTTTAGTATGCATTGTTGGTTTGCCGGTTGAAATGACTCTTCGAGAAATAGAAGCAATTATTCGTGACACAAACCATCCGTGTCACCACCTTGTCCCCGTCGCACATAAACAAGACTATTCTACTAGAATTAAAGAAAATAGTGCTAATGTAAATGTGGTAACATTAAGGTCGCGATCACACTAGCGCTTGAATATGCAGTTCTGATTACCAAGCTTGTGCTAGAATGTATGCCAAGCACGTAGCGGTCCCACTCGGAAAAGTACAGCGTGCTTGTTTGCTGTTGTTGACAGATGACTTATCTAGTAGCAGACCATTTGTGGTTGTTACGGTTTATAGACCCCCAGATGTTTCATCGAATTTTTTTACCCATCTTGAAAACCTATTAAAAATGATTGATAACGAAAACAAGGAAATCTATATACTGGGTGATCTTAACTGCGACCTTTTTAAGTCTATTCCTGACCATCCAACTAAGACACTTAAATCTTTACTCTAAATTTATCAATTATCCCAGATAATTGATAAAGCAACACGGATCACTAGGACATCTTCCACACTTATTGATCATTTTATTACCAATGAACCAGGAAAAATATCCAAATGTGGTGTAATACAGACTGGAATTAGTGACCCATTTATGGCATAAGAAAGATTAACATTCGACACAAAGATAATGATAACATAATTGAAATTAGAAATATGAAAAAATTCAATGAACAGCAGTTTTTACAAGACCTAGGAACTCAAACATGGGAACATGTCTATTTTTTTGCAGACAATCCTGACACTATGTGGGAAATTTGGAAACAACTTTTCTTACAAGTCCTAGATAAACATGCCCCAATTCAAAACAAAAAAACAAAATCTAAAAAAAATCCTTGGATTACTAGTCATATAAAAAAACTAATAATTGCAAGAGATAATTTGAAAAGAAAAGCAAGTATCACTAAACTTGAAACAGATTGGGATAACTATAAAAAAGCCAGAAATGAAACAAACAATCTTCTAAGACAAACCAAAAAGGAATATTATTCCAATAAAATAGCGACTGAAAAGCAAGATCCAAAAGCTGCTTGGAAGACAATTAATACCTTACTTGGTAAACAAAATCAAAGAACTAAAGTAAACGAATTAAACTTAAGTGGCATAAAATTAACAAGCCCTGATGAAATTTCTGAGGGCTTCAATACCTTCTTTTCAAATATTGGACCGAATTTAGCGGAAGAAATTAGTACACCAGAATGTCATTCTAAAGACTTCCTTGACAAAACTAATTCTGAATTACTGCATTCCAGTCAGTTACTGTTAGTCATGTTTGTCTTTTATTACGTGAACTGTCTGGTAGCAAAGCTACTGGCCTAGATAAAATATCCAGCAAGATAATCAAAATTGCTACACCATTAATTTCCGATTCATTGACTTACATCTTTAATCAAGCAATAACTAATTATTATATGAAAACTAGCTTTATTTGGATGTTTTTGGATATTAATGTCCGCACCGTTTAATAAATATATATATATTGAGATATTTAATATAACGACACGCATAAGAACACAAGGTTTGTGGGGGTTATGGAAGTGTGGGACAACTGCTCTATATACAGTATTTTTTATCTGCGAAGAGCTGGGTGCTGAGCGGTTCCCAGGGCATATACTCGTATTGAAAAGCTGGATCTTGGGGAAAGTCGATTAGGACATATATTGATTTGCAGCTGGGTCCTAATCTGCCCAAGACATATACTTTTACGGATTTTGAGCTGGATCCTGAGTCGGCTAGAACATATACTCCATTTAGAGCTGGATCCTAGCCTGCCCTGCAAGACATATACTCTGAGCTGGGCCCTGGGAAAAAATGATCAGGGAAATATTTCTTAGAACACTGATCTGGCTCAGCACATATACTCATATGCAGAAATAGAGTGATTTTTGTAAATGGGAATTGGCTGTATGCCAGGTTGCCAAATTCCGTAAAGAAAACGTGAGGTCTATGGTAAAATTGCGACCTCATACTAGAGCAATTGCTTCCGCAATTACACAACGATAGTGTGTGTGATCCCCATAGACCGACAAACAACGATCGAGTGTTTATCTCACTCTGCAATCAATCGTTTTGAAACGTCTGTAAGGACATTGATTGGCGTGCGAATATATCTGAGGTAACAATCGGAAGACCATCTTCCTAGCGTTTGAATAAGCCAATGAGGCAAACCTTGGGACGCAGCTGTGGTAGCCGCTTCGATTCTAAAGCTGTGGCCTGCATAGTGAGCAGGGTGATGACCACCTTGGGCCAAAAGTGTTCGTAGTTCCTTAGTAAATTGACTACGTGATAAAGGAACACCATTTGAGTAGCAAAACAATGGTCCCGCATAGTCCGTTGGCGCACGTGAAAGGTAGGTTTGAAGGGCCCTTACTGGACAATACATACCAGAATTGCTGCCAATGGTTATTGTGGCTGAGGCTCGAAACGGATCGGTTTTTGACGCTTTAATTCGTAGTTGCAGAAAAACCTCGTTATCCCCACGTTTTTTGTTATGAAAACTTACATCTGATCGGCAAAGGTTTGTTGAAGAATCATGAGGACCGGAGCAAGTCATTTCACCAATCCGCAAAAACCTGAAAAATGCTATGGAAATCGCTGCCCAAATCATGGTTTCATCATGTGTTGGCGATGTCCGTGAGTGTAATATGCGGTGAAACAATTTCAAATGGTCTAATGTAATTGGTAGGCGTGTTCTTGTAGACACTCCTTTTACTCGCTTTATACCTCGCAAAATATAGTGTAGGCGTTGAAATTTGGTGATTTGAAGGTCGTAGGCGTTAACCAAATGCATATGGCGTACTGCTGCGAGATAGACTTTGATGGTGTCTGGATTTACCGTCTTAGCGAGAAAAACAGCAAAGTAAATCAGAATGTTTTCCGTTGTTGGCAGAAGTGGCACATACTTATGTAAATGGAATTGATAGTAGAAATTCGTGAACTGTTTTTCGCCACTGCTATAAGTTTAATCGTACCTTTAGCTAACGAAGCAAGTTGAT